GCGTCAAATTTCAAAGGTCGGTAACCCACAGGAGCTCTACGGTGAGCTGCTCGCCATTATCGTTCGCCTCGCGCAGCACGGTCTTATCCATGGTGACTTCAACGAGTTCAACATCCTAGTTGAAGAGAGAACAGAAAAGGACGGCAGTTTGTCACTGGTGCCAACCCTCATCGATTTCCCGCAAATGGTCTCCATCGATCATGCCAATGCCGAATACTACTTTGACCGCGATGTGGCTTGCATAAAGCGCTTCTTCGATCGCCGTTTTGGCTTCACGAGCGACGAGCCGGGTCCTTTCTTCAAGGACGCCACGAAGAAGCTCGTCAAGCGATTAGATGTTGAAGTTCAAGCTTCCGGCTTCAGCAAAAAGATGGCCAAGGAATTAGAATTGTACATGAAAGAGCATGGTATCGATGGCGACGCTGGAGATGTCGCCACTGGAGCAGACGGAGAAGAGGTGGACGACGACGATGATGGTGACGAGGCAGGCGACGATGAAGAAGTTGAGGATGAAGAAGACGGCGGTGTTTCCCTTGAAGGTGGCCCTGTAGGCGACGATGTGTCTGCTCCTAGCGATGCGATTGCAGATGGGCAGTCGACACTAGCTGCACAGATGACTATACTCGAGATAAGGGATAACGACCCGTTACCAGATCTCAAGGACATCAAGCCGCCGCCACCCTCGGAACCCACCATGACCACCAAGGCCGCTAAGAAGAAAGCCGGCTGGTCCATATAGGCCTGCCAACTACATCGTCTTCTGTTCCTTTGTTTCAGCGATACCCAGACCCATGTCTCCTCCCGGCACTCGTTTCATTTGAAGGCCTAAAATATACAATACATTCCGTTCCAACAAATAAAGGGCACTATACAGAGTCACCTGACTATCCAGTGACAGGCTCATCCAAACCATCTTTCTCCTGAATACCTTCCTCCTGATAATCTTTCTCCCCTCTATCCACGTCCACATTACTATTTACCCGACCATCTATCTCCCCCTTAGCCTCATCCAACCCATCATCGCTCCAAATATCAACCTCCTCTTCGTGATTACTAGCCGCTTTATCCATACACTTCGAAGGCACAACCTGCCTCTTATGTACAGACCGTATCATGCGCCCAACAAAGCGTAAATCCGGTTCCACAAACCCTTTTCGTACAAGCAGAGACCGTATATCTGCTGCAAGGAGATCACCATTCGCAACCTCATGATCGATCAGAACGTTACCATCATCAAGTTCTCGGATGCATGAAGTACTGATACACGCTGGAAGCGTGCTGCCTTCTGTGACGCGGCCAAGCCAATTGTGACGTTTTCTTAGGACGTCTGCTACCAAAGGGTTGGATGTGGTGAAGACGACGGTACGCCGGGGTGGGTGGATGAGGTATTGTATTTTGTGTGAATGGCGGTTATTCATTTTGATTGGATGTATGAGGTTGCCGAAGAGTGTGACTTGCGTAAGTGGGTGGGGAAATGCGAGTACGTGTTAGAGATTCCATGAAGTCTCTGTGTGTTCACGTTCGGGGTTGGTGACTTCAACGCACAGTGTACTTTCACTCGTATAGTTGATCCGCGCCCGCTGATATTGGAAAGACGCAAGAGATCGTCACGTACATGTGCGTGAATGCTCCGAGTGCGTAACAAGAGAGAGCTCTCACGATCCGGGCGTTCAATCAGTGAAGGATAACATTGCCCTCTACCTCTCGTTGTCCACCGTAACACTCTAAACCTCAGTCCCTATCTAATTCCCCTCTACCCATACTCCGCTACCAAAGCAAAACACCCAACATCAAACCCCCCCTCACAACAACAACCATGGTCCTCATCCTCAAAATCCCACCCTACTACCGCACCACCTCCTACGTCCTCCACTACAACCGCCACCCCACCACAACAGCCCAATACATCCTCCTCACCCCCGCCTCCTCAGAAACCCTCACAACGCGCAACGCCGCCATCGCAAAAGACTGTGCGGCATGGGGCTGGCGTCTCTACAACACCGACCGCTCGCTCCCCAAGATGGAGAAATGGTTCGCCAAATATGAGAAGCTGGCCAAGAAGAACACCTGGGACGACGATATTTGGGTGATTTGGCAGAGAGAGCATGGGCTGAGGATTAACGGGGAGGATGAGAAGAAGAAGGCTGAGGCGGCGGTGGCTAACGGGAAGAGTAGGCTGGGGAGTGTGGTAAGGGGGGTGAAGAAAGCGCATTGGCAGGTTTGGGGGAAGGATGGGTGGGTTGGGAGTGATGAGCAGAGACTGAGGATTGAACACGGTCCTAGAGAGGAGAAGAGGATGAGGAAGTGGGCTGAAGAGCAGATGAGGGAGATGTCGGGGCTGCTTGATCCTTTCTCGGATGTTCATGAGGTCATAGGAGAGGATGATGAAGACGAGGACGAGCAGCGTCCGTCGAGTGGGCTGAGAGGCGGTGGTGCTGATGGTGCTGATGCGAAGGGGACTCCGGGTGGAGAGACTGATGGGATGACTGCGGTTGTGCTTCCGAGGCATTCTTGGTTATCTCGGGGCTGAGCTTTGCTAGAGAATGCTTAGCGATAGGTAATGCCGTGATAATGTTATATTACAATACTCCTTACATCCATCCCAGTCTACACACCTCATTCCCCAGCTTTCTCTCCATCCGCCCTTCTATCTCTCTCCTTCTTCTCGCTCTCTTCCCCCCTCACCCTCTTCATCTCCTCCACTCCCTTCGTCAAATCCCTATGCACAACTCTAACCTCCCAGCTATCATCCTCGCTCCACTTCACCTTCCCCAACTGCTCCGCAAAAGCCACGCTTCTGTGATGTCCACTTCCACATAGACATCCTACTCGTACTATCGCTACTTCCTCTTCTCTACTAGCTCTTACATCCTTGATTTCCATGAGCCGTTTGATATCCTCTTCGGCGCGGGCCACTGTATCACTGAAAGACTCGCGCTGCATCAGCTCATCTTGCAGCGTCGAGTCGAGCCCCGTGCATGTCTTTCGTGTTTGGCGGGATGGGTTCTCTGTTACGCGGCAGTCGTATTCTAAGTCTGGTTTAGGAGATGGTGGAGTGAAGCGGTCATAGGATGTTATCTCAAGGATTGGCCGTTGTCTTTTTTTAGTTTGAGAGGGAGATGAATTTTGATTGGTCTCTTTGGCCGCGGATAGTTCATCTTCGGTGGGTGGAACGAGTCGCGTGTTTTTGACTTTTGAGGCGATGTCTGATAGTATGGCCATGTTGTTGATGTTGGGTTGACTAGAGATGGGAGCGACACCGGAATTACGGTCAATATTGTTGTTGGTGGGATATGTGTAGACAAGACGGTTCTTCGATGGACGATTGCGTATATGTTATAGCGGAAAAGGTTCTATGATGCAGGTTCTGGTGACGCTCGTTTAGGTAAGAGGTCGCGTGCTCGGTGCGGACAGGCTCAGGGTCTTCTGAAAACTCCTGCTCCATTGGCGCATGCATATGACGTTGAGCGCTGTGGATCCACGGGCAGACCCGCGAGTGCCGTGCAAGGTGCGTCATCGCCAGACACAGCCGCATCAGATATTGCGATGATTCGCTAATAGTTATACAGGCCTTTTTTTTCTGTTGGTCTGTCTGCAGCCACGCCAAATGATTGCTGTTCCATCTAGCTGAACACCTGTTTGACAAATGAATTGGACGCTCAATACACGTAGTGAACACCCGCCGCATCGATTGCATGGCTAGTCTACATTAAGAAGGGCTGGATAACCATCAGAATTGAAAATGCAGTGTGTAGACGTTTGAATTCATGTGTACAAGACATGCCCAAGTGCAGATCACAACATACTCCGTCGACATCTTGCTCGCTCAGCTCCGTCTCCTATGCAACTTCTTTCTTCCAATGAACTCATACGCCCAAGATCATTTGTATGTAACGCATGTTGCTTCGTGGGCCAATTATTCGCGAGATCCTTCACCGACTGCACTCCTGCCACGTCGTAAACCGGGTGGTGTAGTCGTTGATCCATGCGCGCGCCTGTTTCCTGGCCCGGACTTAACCCAATTGTGTCCAATAACTTCCTCGTCGAGAGATCTTCCTGCCGACTGCGGCGCATATCTTGAGAGACCTTTTATGGCGGATTTGTAGCCTTCTTCCTTGATCGAAGGAGTTGTGTGGAGCTGCTTGTCGGACAAGGGATCTTCCGCAGTACGTTGGACATGGTTTGCTACGAAGCCGGGGGCGGACTGAGTTTCCTCATGAGATATCGGTGGATGCTGTACGGCAGTGGAAAAATGTAACTTCAGTCGTCGAACACATGACTCGAACGTTGGCTTGTCGGCGGACTGAACTTCGTCATGAGACATCGCTGGATGCTTTATGGTAGTAGGAGCGTGTGAGTTTACTCGTCGAACAAATGACTCGAATGTTGGCTTATTGTCGGGCGGCGTTTGGCCTTGTGACTCAACGACCTCGTCTTCGTAGTACAGACCATCTGTTTTGTTGAAGAGAGCACCCGGAGGTGCCAGTTCGGAGATACCCGTCCGCCAGTTTATGATGGTAGAAAGCGAGACGACTGTGATTCTGCACGCCACGGCGGAGGGCGTAGTAACATAGCGATACTTCACTATCCTTCCCGGTGAATCTACCCGGTACTCGCGGTAGAAGGCCTCCATAGGTATATCAATGGAAACAGGGTCGTAGGGAATGAAGTTGATAGACGGTCTCGGTGGTATCTGCTGACTGGGCAGATACTCCGATGGTTCGCAAAGTGAGGGCATTTTCGGATTGGCGCAACAGTACGCTGTTGTGTTTTGTGATGAGAAGGGAACTGTAAATGGATACCGCCTCCGTTGAGACTAAAGAATGTGATAGCAGTGTAATGTGGTCGTGAAGCGTGTTGGGTCACAAGCGCAGAAGGCTTGATGTTTACTACCTAGGTATTTACTACTCAATTTAGCAACGCCCATGAACGAGAAGGTGAGAACGTACCATAGATGGCGTTCGGTGATGAGGGCTGTGACTACCACGTAGAACCACAAACTAGCAGAGTGCACCTTCCTCCCGGTCTTTGATCTTGGACAACACACTCTTATCGATGTCATGCTCCGCCAAATGTTCGACTGCGACTTCAGTTGAAAGTGGTTTGCCCTCCTTCAGCGGGTCAAGTCCTTTGTTCAGCTTGATCCGCCGCTCGAGCTCCTCGATCCAGTAGGCTTCAAGTTGGCCGCGACGCCTGTCGGACAAGAACTGCTCATCCTCGTCTTGCCGGAATGCCTTGCAGAATGCATCGCGGAAGGGTCGTGATTCGCACACCCACTCGAAGATCTTGGAACAGTCCATGTAAATCCTCGGATCGTTGGTGATGTAGGGTTGCAGGACTCCGGGCACGTAGATGATGTACGGCATCGTAATTTTCTTAGGAGCAGTATTGGTTGTTGTAGTTAGTAGGTGTAGCGTTGCCAGTGAGATACCTTGCGGCCTTTTGATTGCTAAAAGGTAACCGTCGACGACTGTGATTAATTGTTTGCTAAAGTGAGAGTACTATCAGTGAGAGCACTGAAGATCGGAAACTACGTGTTGGCGTTGAGTGAGTCTGGCTCTTCAGGTAATGTACAGTCACAGCGGAGGGTGAGTTTGGTCAACGTATCGTAACATAGCGGGCCATGGTCATCGTTACGGGTGATTGGCATCCGACGATTGCAAATTCCGTAGCAAACGGAGCATTACACAAACCGCTTCATACCAAAGCAGTGAAGGCGATTGCGGGTGGATCCTTGCCATGGTGTTGAAGTAGGTAAAAGCAGTCGTCTAGCAGTTCCTAGATTCTAGAGCAGCAGGGTGTGAGATGAATACGGTGAGACTCATGCAGCAGTGTAAAGTCATGACAAGAGTGGTCTGGCGCGTCGAAGGGTGAACGCCTGGGGAGGGATGACGAGCTAGCCCCCCAATCTTGGCGAATGACTCAATCGCGATGCACCCCTCCAAAATGTTGCAGGCCAAAAAGTTGACGGGAACGACACGCTGCAACCAACCGCCAAGATGAGCACCGAATCAGGAGTCAAGACACAGTCGACCTTCGACATCGTAGCGACATACCGCCGCATCCTCAAAGATGACCCGGAACTCACCATGCCCGTCGCGGCTATCGAGGCGCTCGTAGAAGCCATCGCGCAGAGCTCCGTCTCGACCGTCGCCGAGACACTCGACCTGCTCGAACGCCACACGGCCGCCCTCAAGGCCTCCATCGCGAACCCAATTTCCCTGTCCGCCGGCACAGATCTCTTCCAGCGCTACCTCATCACCACCCTCAACCGCCCGGCGAGCCTGAACCTCGGCCCCGACGACGACTTCCGCGCGATACGCAACCACCTCCTCTCCAACGGCAAGCTGTTTGTGGACCGTGCGAAACAGAGCAGGGAGAAGATCGCGAGTTTCGGCAAGCACTTCATCCGCGACGGCGGCACGGTGCTCACAAATGGAGGATCGCGAGTAGTGGGTGCGCTACTGCGAACGGCCGCCGAGTCGAGCACTCTCCGGTTCAAGGTCATATACGTCTTGCCCTCGTCAAGCTCGTCAGATGCGAAAGAGGGTCTCCAGACTGTCGCCGACCTCCGAGAGCACAATGTACCAGTCGCCACAATTCCAGATTCGGCCGTCGCCTACTCACTGGGTAAAGTCGACATGGTCATTGTCGGAGCTGAAGGCGTCGTCGAGAACGGTGGCATCATATCGCGCATGGGCACGTACCAGTTGGGCGTACTGGCTAAGAGCAAAGGAAAGCCCTTCTACGTGGTCGCCGAGAGCCACAAGTTCGTTAGGCTATATCCACTCAGCCAGTTCGATCTGCCCATTGAGCAGAAGGTACTCGACTTCAAGGTCGCAGAAGAACACAAGGCGGAACACAAGCCCAAGAGCGACGAAGAGCAACGGAATGTCTTTGACGAAGCCATCGCAGACATGACTGCGAAGCAGAGATCGGCCGTCGTTCCGCTCGACGCTCATGACGCTGTCGACTTTACGGTACGCTCTGCTTACATCAATTATGATCCCATCCGCTAACCTGAACTAGCCACCCGACCTGATCTCCGGCATCATCACCGAGTCTGGCGTTCTCACTCCGTCTGCCGTGTCAGAGGAGCTGATCAAGATATGGTTTTGAGCCCTCCCTGAGCATCAACTCCTCACCCTACACCAAATACACAAACTTCATCGCGACGCACACGCCGGACATACACGCGTTTGATGAATGCTCACATCCGTGATAGGAATTATGTAGAAAGCGAATCTGTGACTCTACAGCCTTCGCGCCTACGCCGTAGCCGGCGCGTCACGTCCTGAGACTGCGAACCGCGCGTTACAGGATATGGTACCTCAAAATCTCGCTTCAGAGCGTCTGGAAGCTGGCTCTATCACACAAGAGGACTGAAGAACGAGGGAACGGCCAACGATAACGACGTCCCGTGGAATGGTGTTGCGCCGACGATAACAACATATGATACCCAATAGACATATTCAATGGCAACATGTCTTCGACCTGGTGCACATTCAAGGGTCAGACTCTTTGGCAATGACATATATAGAGTGTGGAAATACTGAGCGTGAAGTATGGGAAAATATTGACATCAGTAGCCAGTTACCTCGAAGATGAATGCACGCGACAGCGTACAAAGCCTCATAACATCTGCTAGTTTCTCACCACCACACGACGCTTGCAAAAAATGCCATATCTAGTCCAACCACCCGCGCAGTCCATCGAAGCTTGCGACCCGCTGTTCACCTACGTGCTTGACGACCCCATCCCCTCCGAAATACGTATACTCAAGGACCTTAAGGAACGGGGCTGGGAAGTCTCCGTGCATTTCCACGATGATGCGGTTTATCTAAATGCTACGAAAGAGATTGGAAAGGCGATAAAAGCGATACGACGCAGGACTCAGATGATACATGGGGATATGGTTGGGGACAGTCCCAGGTTGACTCTTGAGGAAATGTGGCAGAGGGAGATGACCAGCAGGTCGGAACAAGAACTCTACGATATCAAGGAGAAGGAGAAAGTTAACGATGCAGCAAGCATAATGTCGCGGATGACAGAGCAGAGAGCTTGGGTGCGTTGGGCTGATGAGGAGGCTGGGTTGGAGGCGGAGAGCCCTAACGTAAGCAATCCTCTGCTATAGAAATATCAGGAAGACCAAAGTATGCAACTGATGAACCCAGACAGGTAGTGCAAGCCACCGATAAACAGTCCTACCTGTCGCACGCTCTGAGTTTAGAAGACTATGATGACTCAGTCATCGACGTTTACGAAGAGCCTGCTGGCAGCCCCATTACGAAAATACATACTTACAACGCATCTCGTTTTATTGAAGAACACGAACCCGACTGGCATACATTTGTACCACGTCACTCTACCCAACGCGCTGCGCATCAGCCTGCAGGTCAGGCAGCCTCATCATCCTCTATGTCTTCTACAACCTCCCCTTCTTCAGAAGCCCCAGTCGGTCTTATGGGAATGTCTGGATACTGGTGTCCGCCCGTTTTCCAAGCCCGGCCGCAAAAGAACTCTCGATCTCAATCCATCGCACCAAGCGCTGTGCTTCCATCACGAGACTCGAAGGAGACTCGGAAGCTCAAGAAGAAAGTTACCCGCCGTGACTCAGAACCCTCGGTGGGGAAGTATCTGCCACTTGGGTTTGTCAGGCCCCTGTCTTGGGTGAAAGCAAAGCGAAGCGCGAATGAAGGGGCCAGTGCAGATGCAACCGCACCAGATGAGCAACAAACCACCGCTCGATCAGAGAGCTCCTTTAGCCCTTATCAACGCACCACCCCCACGCAATCTGTTCCGAACATCCACCTGCAAGAGTATTCCTCTACTTTACTTCAATCTGAACCACGTAACACATCCCCCGCCTTTTCTACTACCTCCAGTCTTATCTTCCCTGGCCGTGAGATAACCCCCGAAGCATACTTCCAGCGCACGAACCGACCCCGGAAGAATCTACAGCCCCGCCAGCTCACACCTCCACCAGGACTGGAGCCAGAAAACGATCCCTACATGTGGCTAGCGTGGCATCGCGGCCTTAGAAGGCAGCAGGACAAGACTGATCGTGTGCTGGGTAAAGACAGCATACATAGATCAGATAGTGGTAATGCTAGTTGGTATGATGGGTTCCAGAAGATGATGAAGGAGAAGGAAGCAAAGGTGGCCAAGGAAGAGAAGAAGGCTGAGAAGAAGGCGAGGAAGCAGAAGGAGAAAGAGGAGAAGGAAGAGCGGATACGCAAGGAGAATAGGGAGAAGGAAGAGCGGATACGCAGAGAGAATGAGGTGAGGGAGGCTTTGAGGAAAAAGGGTGATTTTGCAGGTGGGTACTTGCCACGGTATGCATGACCGCCTCTACTTACGTGCATAATGTAGGCATAATGAATACCTGGGCAGGTTAATGCTCGTGGGCGGTAGGAGAATGTAATCGCGATGGCTGTTACTGACTCGGGAGGTGTTGATCGAGACCAAGGAGGAGTGCAACACCTAGGACGACATTTTACAAGCCTTCGCATCTACGAGGCTTCTTCATTTGTTCTGTCTCATGTATATGTGGATATTCAATGTACAAGACTTATTCTAAGAGCAAAGTTCAGTCAACAAAACAGTCTCATCTAATCAGCTCGTAAGGAGTTAGTGCCGTTGTTGCCTTGGGCCTAAACGATCCTTCGAATATACCCGAGCAAGTATAAAATCTGCGTGCCGTCAATCCGCGGATTGACTGACCCCGCACCCTTCTTCCCAATACTATCTCGTATCCAAACGCAATGATCCAGCAACCCGAAGACATCCTACGAGACCTAATCATAACAACGGACGGCCAAGCCGAGGAGCCGTATTCCTATCACAATTGGGGCTATACCATCTACCGCACATGCTACACGCCAGAATCTCAATCGCAATGGGAATCTCTCATCGAAGCCATTCAGCTAGGGGTCGAAAAATCCCTCCCTGCGTCGCAAGACGATGAGCCACCAACTACGTCTCAACTCCTACGCTCCCTCTTACGTCTAGACTTCCGCTCCGATGCTTCCCTGTACGACGGTATCACTATCGACCAGCTTCGCCAGACCTATCTCAATCCACCAGAAAATTCTGCACCCCCATCACCGAACTTCTATAGGAGCGAGCGTCTCTTCCTTGTCGCTGACGCGGAGGTTTTGATGGATCCTTACTTTCTGCCGGAAGAGAACGAGACAACAAAAGTACTTATTGACAATAACACAAGCGACGTTGCAACTTCCCAGACTGTACAGAAATGGCAATATCAATACCATGGCTATAGCAAATCCTCCAGTACCAAGCGGCGATGGCTCAAGTGTGTCGAGTTGGACTACGTTGCTGCGGATCATCACCCAAGGAGAAGAGGTCAGGGCCCACGGCCGTATTTTGGCTGGTTTATGATGACGGCGGAGAGTTTGGTGGAGCTGTGGGAGGTGTTGCTTGATCAGGATGTCGAGGAGGTTAAACCCAGATTGGTTGATGTGATGATTTGTAAGTGCATCATGCCCTATTCGTGTGTTAAACACGTGTGCTAATACTTGGAAAGGGGGAGGATATTGAGGCTTGATGGGAAGCTGAGCGAGTGATGGAAGGCGTTCTGTCATATTGCGGCTCTTTTGGATTCTACGCCATCAATGTTGATATATTTAGGTTGATGATAGTTATGGAATTTATCGGAGGCAAGAATGAGGAGATGATGTATACATTCATATGGCCAGCTATCGAATACTACTACGTCCACCCGATTTAGTGTATACATCCTTTCTACATGAGTCCATGTTTGGGCTGATCTGCGTATGTAACCCTCTAGGAGCAATACTTTGCGCCCTCGCCAGGCTTAACGATACCCATATCGATAAAAGCCGAGTAATTCCAGTAGTCTCCTTGTACTCCCTCGCCAGCTACGGGCACATTTCCGAAGAACTTTGCGGTCCAGTAAGCGCTACCCCTAGTGTACTTTGCAAAGGCGTATAACCCGGTGTTCAAATTCTTCTGACGATTTGCAAATTTATTGTCCGCCACCGTCTCGATCGACCATTCACCGATGAATACAGGAAACTTGCCATCTCCTGCCGATGCCTTGGCGTCTGAGCAGATGTCTGCGCTCACGGTATCAGAGTCTGTTGGGCGGCCAGCGAAATAGTAGTTGTGTACGTCGAAGACGAGATTGGTGGACGCTAGGAACTTGGGAGACCAGAACGCTTCACCTCTGAAGCTGCCTTGGAACATTACGGGTATGTTCCTGTTCACGGCTGCTGTTTTCGCAATAGCCGCGTCGATATAATTCTGTACCCATACAACACCGTTGTCTGTCAACGCGGCTGGTGTGCCGAAGGTGGTGATGTCGCGATTGTCCACCGGTTCGTTGATCGGCTCTAGAGTGTATGATTGCGGGGTTCCAGAGGATTGAATGAAAGCCAGTGCAGCATCGACAGCGCGTAGGGAATAGTCGAGGTTCGTCGCGTTATTGAACCAACCGAAGCGGCCTTCGCCTTCACCAAAGCCCATACCGTTCACTCCGCCAGGAAGGGAGTGAATATCGAGGATGATGTGCATGCCGTACTTTGCGATTGCGTAGGATGCGATGTTCTTGAAGAACCGAGTTTGTCCGCCGCTGTAGAAGTTACTGCCAGGAACCTTGACCCATGCAGCGTAGGTTGTTGGAATCCTCAAGACGTTCACGCCAGCAGTGGCTAGCTTGTCGATATCGGCGGGTGTGATGAACGTAGCATAGCGACGCTCTAGGACAGGGCCACATTGCGATCCTAGTTTGGCACAGCAGGTCCACTCATCAGTCGTAGTACCGCAATTCTGCGACCACCAGACTGGGTCAATAACGGCTTCTTGGGCAAGCCATCCACCAAGGTTGATACCATTGGCTTTGAAGGTCTTCCAGTTGAGGTAGGTGGGTGCCTGGCGACCTGTTGGACTGCCGGTGGTGAAAGATGAGAAAGAGAGGAGGAATGCGACGATGGTGTTGAGGGCGATCATGGTTGATGTTGTGGTGTCGGCGTTCCTGGCTGAGGTTGGACACTGTTGAGCATGTTGAGCATGTTGTTACTGGTCTTTATAGCGCATCAGTACACCCGTTGTTGGCCTCTCTGTCCAGCACGATATGCACCACGACCTCGGGTCATGACAACGTTGAAAGTCGAGCGCAAGATGTGGAGCCGGTCGACCTAGCTACCTAGGGTTAAGAGCCAAGATATTAATATGATCAGGCATAGCTATCCTCAAGCCGCTTCAAGACATAGCGTCGTTGATGGCTGTATTACTGACGAGGTGTTTACCCCAGGTTCCACCCCGGACTTGACCCCAGACTTGGCGCCGTCTTGTGGATGCATGATAGTGCCTTAGGTCTTCTAGAAGAATTAACCCGAGCTGCGACTACATGTTCAGTTACTATCCGCATGGGTCGCATTGTCCCGAGCGACCTGGGCTCCACGTCGGGTGGTGTGAACGCTACGTGGCCCACATCCCGAGGTGTGTATCGGCTTCGTTCTGTTTGCGTACCAAGGGGAGGCTTTCGTCTTTGACGATGACACAAATGACAGCAAGATATCGTCTTGAGGTGCGATGCCACGCGCGTAGACGACAGTTGATCTAGGGAAGTAATTACGCGATAGCCATTCGTCGTTGCCTAATCAGTCCTGTGCTCGCGGCACCCCTTGGTCAGGTATCGGCGCCCGAGAGGAACGAGAATGCTCATGATAGTACCGTTGTATCGCAAGTGCTCTGCCAGCGCTGTAGGTTGTGACATCAGGGAGTTGACGGACTAAAGTTTGTCTATAATAACGAGACGAGTGTCTTGGTGAGCCGTCCGTGCGTTCCAAGGTTGTCTGGGTCGCTCAACCGGCCAGCAGCCACTCTAGCCCTCCACATTCTCACCCTCTTCGTTATATCAATGCTGATGGCTTGTATGTCATTTACATCCTCTGAAGCTTTCATTGAACAAGAAAAGCCCTCGATAGTCAATGCAAAGCTATGGGATGTGACCTCGCGGCTTCCAAGGTTGTCTGTCGAGCGTCGAGAGTACAGCTCACACAGCGAACTGATCATCGCGACGGGCAAGGCCGAGAAACGAATGCTTCACATTCTTGGGGAACTGAAAAGATTCTAGTTAACTTACAGGATCCACTTTAGCTATTAACAATGCTGTTGAAGTTCATGATATTTGGGGTGGCTAGTACTAGCTACCTCTAGGGTATATAGGGGCGTCTCCGCCTATGTTTTAGTCTTTAATTAATCTTTAATTTATCCTATTTAATAGGTTATAAGCCCGGCCTTGCGCTGCTAAAATTTACTTTAAAGATACCTACTTTTACTCTTTTTTTACTCTCTTAAAGGACTTGTAAGCGAATCTTTCTAATAGAGCGGCTTTAGATTTCTATACTAGCGGGTTTAAGACCTCTTACAATGCTTTACGTTACCTAGAAAAAAGGAGAGAGACTCTTAACTCTACGCTTATTCTGCTTAATATTAAGAAAGGCGCTAATAAAAATTAGTTAATAGAAGACTTCTAGTAGCAATCCTAGCTAGGCAGTAGAGCGAGCTCTCTCTGCCTAGGGCCGAATTGTTAGTAACTACACCTCTTAGTGCAACTCTATTAGCCTGTTAAGCTATACTTTGTTTACCTTCTCCTTTAAAGGGCTGCTTAGGTAGGGGACAACCTAAGCAATACAGCTGCTAAAACGACAACCTATCTACAACTAGCTTATTACTTTTCTTAATGCTTACCTATTTACTATCTTGAAGGCGCTATTTTCGCAACTAACCTCTAGGAGCAAGCTTACTTTTAGCTAGCTAGTAATGCTATTTCTTTAAAACTTGGCAGGATTCCCTAGATCTAGAACTAGATTGCCCTAGAACTAGACTTTGCGCTTTCCGCCTGCGTATACTAGCAAGCCCGCCTCTGCAGCAATAGCCCTCTATCTCTATAATATGTAGGAATATTATTTAGCTTAATTTTCGCAGCGCGGGGTTTAGGTAGCGGTAACTATCTTAGAGGTGCTAGTTTTTGTATAGGAAACAGTGTAGACATGCTTATAGCTATACAAACTATAAACTATATAGCAGTTTTGGTTTAAATTCTTAGTGGAACAAGAATTAAAAAGTTAGTAGAGGCAGCGCGACCTAGAACTGCTGTAGGAAACGCTAGCAAGCGGAAAACTACCGTAGAATAGCGGCGGCCAAATCTAGGCAGGCAGTATTAAAGCTGTTTTTAGTAGGTATGCTAGGGCGGCGGCAGGCTGCTGCGGGCGAAACAGGCGGCGCAAGGCTGCCTAAGAAGCTAACACAGTAAGGCTAACGCCTAGCAACAGCGCTAGACTCTACCGCCGCTGCTAAGCCCTTAGGCTTGCTCTTAGGCCTCTTAGCTTTTAAGAGATACTGTTCTAGTGTTTCTAGGCGCTAGAGTGTAGGAGCACTGCGAGGAGCGGCCTTCTAGTGTTTCTAGGCGCTAGAGGGGAGGAGACTAGCCTTAGCAGCCTAACCTAGTAGCTTTACGAAAGGCTAGCGGTAAGCGGCTAAGTGAAATTTGTAATAGAGGCTGACAGTAGTGTCTTAGAGGGCTAGCTGGCTTGTAAGGCTAGGTAGCGCAGCGCTCTGTTTTAAAAGTGGCCTGTGCTTCTAGCCCTCTTGTTTTGCGACTAGCTACTAGGGGGAGATGTACTACCTGCTAGCCACTACCTTTTCGCTGACACTGCTAGTATAACTAGGCCCTACGGGCGCAATAAACTTACAACTATTACGATATTTACTTTAACCTTGCCTACTACAGCCTCTAACACGCTAAAGACACCTCGACACCTAGCTGTTTACCTACCTAACAGCCGATATTGATTTACAGCCTCTTAACACTAACAACTCCTCCTATACCTCTACCTTCTTAAATTTTAGCAGCAAGAGCTGTACTAGCACAAGCGCTACTAAAAGCTAACTTAGTAAAGCTAGCTCTTGCGACCTTTTTAGACTTAAAGCTATTACTGCGTTACTACATATACCTAGTTTCTCTATCCTTAAAGGAAAGCGCCTATACTACAATAGCCTTAACTCTACCTAAGCTACCTACTAACAACAAGTTTAAGGCAGAGTTAAATATTAGACAAAGAAAGCTATAATTTAGTAGGCAAGAACAAAGAGACTAGCGCTAGAACCTAACTCTCTACTAGTAAAGCGGCGCTATAGACAAAATTACAGCTAACCTTAAGCTAATCCTAACACTAGACAGCCTAAATAACTAGATTTGCTAGGAAAGACAAGTTACTAAGCTCCTTGGCTTTTTAGGCTATAGGCGCTACCTAGAAAAAGGCAGCAACTGCAATAGCATTACGGCTATTAAAAATAAGACTAACAAGAAGAAGACACTTCGCTAGGAAACCTAGGAGAATAACTAAGACAAGGCTCTTTAGTACATAAAGGCTAGGTATAGAGCGAATGCGAAGAAGCTGCTAGTAGGTAAGACTACTATAGCCTCTAGCATAGCTGCCCTGCGTAAACGCTTCCGCCTAACAGGCAGCGCAGTATTTTAAAATCTGCACTAAGCCTACTGTATACTAACG